TAATGCATGTGAAGCTGCAGTACAAGACAGAGTCGTATTCATGAGAGGCTGTGTTCACAGAAGCTTGCGCTGATTCATTACATAAGCCAATCATAGAGAAAGAAGGGCCAAGAAGCCTCAACTGTGAGCACATACATACATTCACACACAAAGATGCACAGAGTCACTTAACCTCAGTGCGTGAATCTGAGGTGGATAAATCTTTCTTTTTTTGCTCAGGGACAAAGGGGGGTAATCTGGATTCTAAGATATTTTTTTAGATTCACAGGTGTACGTTTCAGGAAAACAATTTGAACTTATGGCATTTGGAGATCCACCGATAAAATTTTTGGATCGGATATTGACTCTGATATCAACTAATTAACTGGATCAGATATCAGCTCTGATATCAACTAATTAACTGGATCAGATATTGACTCTGATATCAACTAATTAACTGGATCAGATATCAGCTCTGATATTGACTAATTAACTGGATTGGATGTCAGCTCCGATACTGGATCGGATATCGGCTCTGATATTGACTAATTACCTGTCAGATTTCGTATCGTATATCTGAGATCCAATTCAGTGCATTTCACATGGAACTTTTGTTTCTTTCTCTTTGCTGCTGATGTGTTAATAAATAACAAAGTACGTTTAGATCTGTGCTAATTTGTTACCTACATAACAATGTTTATATCAAGGCTAAAGCCCTGACTCACATTGCAAAATACATGGTTCATTCAATCAATGTTAAATCATATCGGTATCGGATATCTGCAGATATGTTCAGCCCAGGTCAGATCAGCAAAAACCGGATCAGTGCATCTCTAACTGCGTTTAAAGTAATTATTTGTAACAATGATGTTCTGATGGATGAATTCATCAAACGCTCTGAGCCTGTGGATGGATTGAACTTTCCTACATCACCTTAAATAAGATCTCTCTTAACTGGAATCCATAACACTTTTTTTTTTCTGAAATATCCTTTACTGGCATGAAAAACTTTTTTGGGACTGACTAAAATATGGTTTTGTGAGAAATTTCCAACTGTTTTGATTTATTTTTTTTAAGTGTATTGATGAATAAGAAAATGAAACATGTAACCCTTTTAGAAAAATAAAATCTGTGCGCCATCAGTGCAGAGCTTGTGTAACATCAGGAATAGATTGTCTTTAGCCTCAAGACCAGAAAGACTAGGCTTTAGCCCTTGAGTCCTTAACAGAGCCAACAGTTAGGGGTCATGAACTAATG